GCGAGTGTGGGTGCGAGTGTTGTATATATCTGTGTGAGAGAGAGAACATATCCGGTGGCTCGTCCGCCGTCCCGTAGGACCCGGCCTTCTTCTACATACGCGCACGTACATACATACATTATGAACGCGACAGCAGCGGCCCTTGACAGTCGATCGGTCACTTTAGACGAGCTGTCAGTCACGCAATTACATCAATCCGGTCGCGGTCGTCTTCGCCGGTCGGCGGCGGTGGCGATCCGGTCGCGTCGCGTTACGAAAAAGCGGATACATAATGCGAGCGATCGGCGCCACTTCTCGTCGAACATCGGTGACACCGATGTGCGCTCCCAAAATAACGACGAGTGCAAGACGAAAACGTCAGGTCAGGTCAGGTCTCGAAGGGTCTCACAGAATAATTTCGTTCAAAGATGTCTGTCAATTTCTTATCTAATCCCTTTAATTCTGCAAGTTTTCAACATTGTTCGTAAACTCATTTGATTATAAAGGAATAACAATTATAAAAAATAAGAATAAGACATTTATAAAAACATTCGTAAAAAAACTCGAGTTTCATAATTTTTAAGCGGAATAAAGCTATCGTGTAAATGAGTGCTAATTATCAGCGAATTCTGATAACGGTATCACATGTGAAGTAACAACGAATGCGTCCGACCGCGATATATCATCGGTGGTTTACTATTTATAATCTTCTTCTTACGCTTTGCAAGGGTGCTATTCTCGTCTGCCACTCCGCTTTTAAACTTGAGTCGACACAACGACAAGTGGAAGAGACTTTTTCCCATCTTACAAGGAAACGCTCGCGGCTCTTTCTTTCTGACTCTGATAAACTCTGAATGTTTTACGGAGAAACTTAAAATAGAAGATATATACGCTTTCATGTGTGTTTTGACTTTAAACAACAATTTGGTTCTAATAGAACACTCGACATTCTGACAGAACATGAACAGAAGAATAAAAAATGCAAAATCATGAATGATTTCGGGCGTGAATAATTTTGGCGACGAAGCGCCTAAATAAAGAAATGCGAGCATTACAGGAGGCCAGCACGAGTTGTATGACCGACCCTTAATCGAGTTACGAGGAATGAATGGAGCTACTGTAATTCTTATTCCACACGCGTGTATGCATGTGTCGATGCGCGATTATATACTCAATATGCATTATCAGGTCATTTCTTTTATTTGCAAATAGGGGACAATCGCAATCGCAGTGAAAATATACATCTTTAATATTTTTTATGTCAATTATGTAATTAAAATTATTCAACCTTATTTCATAATTAATTGTAACTCTTTATATTTTACAATATAAATTAATAAAAAATTAATTATGAAATTAATTATTGCTACATAATATTAAAAATTCATGTCGTTAATTTCAATGTAAAATCTTTTTACCAAAGAAGCGATGGATTTTCCTAAATGAAATACGCACGATATTCGGTAGTCACATGTCCGAAAAGAAATTGTATCAATGAAAAGGCAACAACAAGAGAGAAAAAATATGATATTGCTTGTTGGAGATCGGTAGTCCGATCGTAATTCAAGTAGGATCAAGTGCTAATTGGCCTCGTTAGAACAGTGCCGAGTTAGTGCCTTAGTCGAGGCGCCTTCTAATTATTATCTCTTTTTTCCGATGCCTCCCAGCCACTCGAGCGAGTGGGCGCCTTTCATCAAGGAATGCACTTACTGTAAGTCTCCGTTGCTTTCTTCCTCTTATTTGTCTACGCATGTGAAAAATCTTCTCTACTCATTACGATGCATTCTTATCTAATTTGAAATTTTTTAATAGAAACAAGAAGTTTAATATATTTTTAATGGATAATAAAAAAATAATTAACTACAAAGCGATTGTAATTAAAATGTATAAACTCTATTTTGTATAATAATGTTTTCTGAGTATAGTGCATCATTGTATAATGAATAATGTTTTAATTCATAGAAATAGTAGTCGATGGAAAATTACATTGCATTCACCGGTTAGTCAGAAACTATTCCGCGAGCTCTAAAACAGGATCGAATCATCGTGTTATCCTCATATGGTGTAATCAGGACGTAGACACCCGACTTCTGCGTATTCGCGTTTCGCGAAAATTGCTCATAGTATGTCCTGCTATCACAACCGTGTAATTATTCTTCTTAATCTGTCGCAGTTATATCGTACAAGAGATAGAATTCATACCTTTATTGATTGCTATATTAATCAATAATAATATATCTAGTATCATTCTTTTATAATTCAGAAGTTTTTAGAAATATTTTATATCTATTTCTATATTTTCAATTTTTTTATATGATATAAACACGAAGAAGATCACTTATAGAAGCTGTTAGCTGTCGACTGTTTGTTCAGTAGACAACAACAGATGGGTAAACAGACAGCAAAGCGATTCAGCTCCAGAAAAGGCAACAATGAGCAACTTGATTCTGTCGGCGTGCGATAAAGTAACGCCCTAATGTCGACACGATGTTATAAACTCTGAGATCTATCGCCTCGCTAAAAAGTCTCCACGATTCTCGGGAAAAGCGGCACCAAGCCTCTTCGTTCGCTTAACCCGGCTCTTACAAATTGTTTAATTGTGCGGTCGTCGCGGAATTTCTGGACGATGAGCTCACGTCATCGCCGAGGCTGCACGTTTGCTTCCGCACTTTGCGTTCCGCGAAGATTTTGTGCCCGACCGCTTCGGTGAATTCTGATAATATTTATTTGGAAAGCAGCCAGAATACGCGGCATACTGACACATCATGATTCCGCAAAAGGATTTTTATATTCTTCGGAGGATTACTTTTACACAATTTTGCATTTTGTTTTAGAAATTAAATATTAATTAAATGCCCCAGTTTATATTCATGTGTTTCTAATAATTTTCCAATATTTATTTTTTTCATAATTAAAAAATTACTGAAAAATTGCGAGACTTTTATCATGAAAAATAATTTAAAAACTGATAATTAATTATATTATTAAAAATTTATCATTTTAATTATTTAAGAATTTTGATTATATTACTTTGTTCAATTTAAATTTACACTATTCAGTCCACGCGAAAACGGATATTTGAGTCTAACCGTCGAACGACCGGAAGTGCGCCAATTCGCATGCTGTAAACACGCGGCAGGGTTGCCGAAACGCTCGTATGCATGTGAGGAAGCGCGCGTCTTTAATTGCGGGACAGTTATTCTAAAAACATACGTCGTGTTATTTGCGTCCTCGCAGACGAAGCTTCTAAGCAACGCAAATACAAACTGCGTAGAGAGATTTTTTAAAATTGCTTCAAGTAAATGCAGATTTAAGCTGATAAAATTTCAGGAAGGAATAAAAGTGGAATCCACACGGTAGTCGACCGAATAATAGCTCATAAATTTCTATACAAATAGGAGATCCATAAAGCGCTTAGCATTATGATAGAGTATAATACCTTACAATAACTTGTCTCCACGTTGATAAGCACGAAATGTGGTACTTTTCGAAAAGGAAATACCACAGTATTATTATCGCGAAAAACAAGAAGAAATTTATGACCGTAGAAACTGATTACGAATAGAAAGAAATTTCTACGTTTGAAAGAAAGATTACTTTTAGTTTATGGACGCTTTAAAAATCTAGCGAGGAATTCTAGATAATTATTTTTTTTAGTTTTAGTTTTAAAACTGTAAACAGTGATAGACATATTCGATTAGATTTATTTCATCAAAACAGACGGAATAAATTGTTATTGCATATCTTAAAATTCTTGGGTGTGGTTGCATTTCTGCGAGGTACGCCGCTCGTTAACTCGCTGATGTAAGTACTGAGATCATCGCCAATTAGACTCGATATCGTTTATAAATCATGGCGGAGCGGGCGGGACGGTGCCGAAAGTCGATATGTCCTTTCTCATTAAAAAATACGAGGCAGAACTACGTGGTCGGCAGGAAGTATCCTGTTACGTGGCGTATTTATGGTGGCTACACTGCGAGGACACGACCATATGTCGGTTGCGATCCTTGCTGTTCTTGCAAAGGAAATTCGTTCTCGTGAGATCCTCGAAGAGGAGGATGAAAACAATTTACTTTCAAACAAAGTGAAAGCTACCCTCTTGAGTTTGAAAGAGTGTGCCTTCGACTTTATCTCGTGCCTTGGAGTGTGCCTGTTTACAACTGTTTATAACACTCGATGCGAGCGTAGTCAGGCGTACAAAAATTTTCAAAGGTATTCTTTTTTTTTTCATTTTTCTCTGTAAACCGAGATATATCGGGACGACGGCGACGCGATGCGCGCACTATAAATCGTACCGCCCTCGAGAGTTCGATATACTGGTGATGGAAAGAAGACCGACGGTGTGTGAGAGTGGAAATTAAACAGTCGCCCGTGCATGACTCTGTTTACCTTGCCTGTGAAGTCGTTTCGTTACAGAACGGAAGTCTTCACAGAACGACATTCGTTTTGTTAACAATTGAAGTGGACGGAGGCAACAGAAGTCGCGTACTTTCTCCAAACTACAGATACTAAAATAACACGTATGATGTTTGTGTTGAAACGCGAGCGTAAAAGTAGCAAAACTGTTTTTAATTTTTGTTTCTAATTATCCCTTAAATATCCTTTTGCAGCTAAAATTAATTTTGACAAATAATCCATGTTAAGTATCCTTTATTTTAACAACTCTGTTAGGATAAAACAAATGTAATTAATTTTTGTTATCTCAAAAATTTTTATAAAGATTAGAAAAATGTATTAAGTACGAAAAACTGTCTTTATCTCGAAATTTTAACTTGACGTTTAATTATGATGCAATTGTGAATACGGCGTCAATTTTTCCCTAAATTTGTTAAAAAAATTTGCGTATTTCTGCAATACTGCCAGAAATTTTTTGAAAACTTACTCGTGCGACAAGGGGAAAATTCCTGAGATTGATTGAAATTATTAGCGACGACCCAGCACGTGCCCACCGGCTCTCTTCTGTTGCCCACCGTGGATTCCTTGCTCCATCGGGTGTCATCGGGATCGTATTTGGGCTGCGACACGGAGAACCAGATGTACCTGGGCGCACATGCCTGCGAACATAAAGCGAGATATCGCCGCTATTAATGACTCGTAACTCGTCTCTCATTGCGGTCAGAGACGCGGTCGTTTGTAGTTTCTAACGATCGTTTCGATCGCAATTAAAACACGCGCTGACCGGTTCCGCCGTCAGTCGTTAAAGGCATTTACACGCCAGGAAAAGAAGAGTACGCACGTACGGCAAACTTGCAACGCAAAACGCACATAGCATGTTTACGGTCGCAATTATACATCATCGGCATCACCGTTGGCAAGTTGTCTGCAATAACAAGTTGTGTCCAATTCTCATTTTTCTTATTTAACGCTAAACTGTCAGATGAAACGGCGGAATATATCATTAAAAGTAAAATTTTATACATGCATAATTTGTTCTGTATTGATTTTGGTGAAATTTCAAGCACTTTTTTCTGCAAAATTATAAAAGCTTATAAATTGCGATAAATTAAGTGCTTTATGTGAATTAGTTTCACAAATGTTTTCCTTTTTTTATAATAAGAAAAGTATGATTTGTACTACTACTTTGCGCAATGACTCATTCAGCGATAAATGTATGGTGAGAATACAGACTTCAAACATGTTTAGTAACCCCAAGAAGCGCATTGCGCAATCCGCACGAATCACTGCTGCATTTAGAAGTGCACGTGCCTTCCGCGAGATGCAGTCATATTTACGTGCATACGCCTTGCGTGCTTTGATGATTCCAGTGGTAAAAACTCCTTTCTGCTGCATAATGTATTTTTGCCGCAGCTAAACATTATGCATTACTAGGCATTCGATTATTGCAGGCAGGCACCATTAATGCTAAATTCATGCCTCAGGCATTCTCTCGTAAATACGCGTTATACTTGGACAAGCTGCAATTTGATTTCATTCCGGTAATGCACGAATGATCTCGCAAGCGGCCACGATGTTGCACGGCTCTTCCAGACCGGAAGTCCCTTAGCGTCAAATGCAACGCTGTAACGCTTATTCTAGCAGAAAGCTTGTGAAAAACGTCAATCACTGTAAGTTTTCAATTTTTTTCTCTCTTTTCGATTCAATTTTTAATCTTAAAAATATTTTAAACTATGTTAAAACAAAATGCGATTAAATTTAACAATTTTGAAGCTTATATTCGCTAAAACTCTTGAAATTCTAACGTAAATAATTATTAATAATTCAAGATTAAAATGCCATTTTTAATCTTGAATTTTTAATCATTTTTAAAAATTTGATTCTCGGTATGTATCGTTAAAATTTACGAGTTACGATAGCAGAAAACTATGCTATAAAATTTTAACCAGGATTTATGACATTTCTTTTTGACGATAGATTAGTTCGACGAAGCGCGCTTGCAGAAACTATTTCGCTAGATGGTCCAATCCGGACGCGAGCGCTCTCACGCACAATGATCGTCGCATTACGTCAATCATCTGTACTTGACCAAGCAAGCAGAAGCAGCTGATGGCCTTAATAACGACGACGTAACGTATGTGCGAGCGTATAACGGCGGTATTTATGCCCGATGCCTCAGGTCCACATCGTAAATCTCTCGAAATACGCGCGCGACCTGCCCCGACGACAACTTATCGCAGAACACATTGCATATCGCTACGGTTAAATTGTTGGAACGTGCAACATACGCATTCCCCGAGCGCTACCGTACATTCTGTTCATTCGGAAAGATAAAGAACCGCGTTGTAAGACTTGCTAATACTTCAAATGCCCTTCAAGGCTAACAGTAAATATGCATGTGTATCGAAGTTGCATAACGTAACATTTTATCATTGCAATATATCGGTAGAATACCGAAAACATATCATTACTTTTTTATTTCATACTTTTTTTTCATTTATCTTGCATGTGTAATGAAATGGAAGCGATAAAATTTGAATTTGTTAAAAAATCGTCTGAAGACGTTATGCGACTTCAGAAATAGCACAGTGGCTTCTCGCATGATTGTGCAATTTGTCGCTGGCCATCATTTTAACTGTTTTTCAAGGCCGTGATGTGTAAATGAGTCTCATCCATGCGCACGCTGATTCCGCATGCACGTGGATCGCGTGAACGACGCCCGAGCTCTTTAGCGGACCGAGAGATTACAACGGGCGCAACGTTCGCGCAAACGATACACACACACGCAAGCATGCATTATTAATTGCGAGCCAATTAAGACGTTACAACGATGCGCCATTACGCGCCATCCCTCGCGGGGACGACGCCGTGCTTCAATCTTAATCGAAAATTATGAAAGGACTCCGTTTTGATTAAGTTGCACCCTCAGCGAAAACGTAATCAGGCCGATAATAAATCCGCGATGCTCGGGAACTCGGGATGATTCGAAAGAGTCGCCCTTGATGGCTGTCCGTCTTGTTCCAAGCGCACTAATTAGAGGAAATCAGGAACGTAACTGTACTTAAATGCCGCGTTATTACCGTCGTATCTGAAATTCGTGAACAAGCCTTTCGCAAAAAGGTTACCCGAACTGATTGTTCCGCGAAGATTTTTGTTCGCGTCAGCGGAGCGCGGCTTTTGAGATAATTCCGACGAACCGCAGGCTGATTGAACGTAACGATCGTCACGCCGTTCGGCCTGCCTATCGACAATCGTCGAAGAGAGAAGACGAAGAACACGGGAAAGGAAAAAAAAAAAAAATGACGCGCCGAAGTGCCGCAATTTATCCATTGCGCCAGTTTAGCTCAATCGCCCGAGTTCGCTCTAGTGCGCGCGATCTGACCGTTTGTGGACGCCGAAATCGTTTATGGGCAGTTCGCCGATACGGGTCACTGATAGGCCTGATCTGCCGACGAAGCTCGTGAATTATTTCGCACAGAGAATATTTTAAGAAATTTTTATTCAGCGACATTTAATTGGATATTAATTTAATTACAATTTTTTCTAAACGTTTTCTCGTTAATTTTGTTTTCTTTTATTTTTTTTTCGATCTATACATTGTAAAACTTTTATACAATAATTCTTTGTGTGTTAGAATATGCTTTGCCGTTTTGGAGTATTAAAACTGAAAATCATCTCTCGATATGATAAACACCGGAAATTCCGCTTTCAACGTTCAATCGAGACGTCGGCACGTCGAGGATGCTGTTAGCAATCTTGAAATTTTTCTTTACACAAGTGCGATTAAAGACATAATAACTGAGAATGACAGACTGCTGTAAAACGCAATAAATTACCGGTCACAACGATCGCGTGAAGCGGAAAAGTACGCAGCGCAAATCTATAGCCTCGATCTCGAGAGTGCGTTTCGATGACGCGAAAGTGCGTGCTTCGTAATAAACGCGAGTAATTCTCGGTTCATTAGCAAGGATAGAGGAATCTAAATGCCGCTGGCGAGATACGCGCGCTAAAGACGCGCCTTTGAGCTAACAGCGCGAGGGCTCGACCTCATGGCTTTTGCGCAATCAAATCGCCGTGAACAAACACCGCTAATAGCCGGAAATTAGAGTTCCCTGAAACCCAACCGTACATTTAGAATAACTATTAAGTGTGGAACGAGCGAGAAATTAGGAAGATCCTGTTTTCGTTTAGCAAATAGCACAGTAAATTTCGTTCGCAATTAGCAGAAGATGAAAACTAAATATTTTCTCTGTAATATTTGCTTTCTCCTACTTCTCTTTATGGTCAAATTAGATTTTAGCTTACAAAACATTCTGTAAATATTAAATATTAACATGTAAAAAACTTGTGACAGAAAAAAAATACCGAAAAATGCATCACATCATATTTAATTAAATTATGCCGTTCTCACAAGACACGAACAACGTGCAACGGTGCATGACGAAGTGCTATAAAAGAATCCTGCGAATAATTAAATGCAGCGTTAACGTTCACGCGACGAACAATGAAACAGCACGATGATGATTCGGTGGAATACGTAGTGAAATTTCGAAGGTGTGGCCGGCTCGTGATACGTGCTTCATTAAAGAGCGCGGAAGAAGATTTAAAGGGAAGTAATGATGTGGTGTATGCGTGCGACGGGGCACTTTTGGACGGGCATTTCGTGCGGCAGGAAGCTCGCGGCAATGAAATTGCCCAAGGAGCCTCGACGGGCAACGTGCGTCTAATTGTACGAGAGCGGGTAGGAGAATAATAATATCCGTCTGCGCACGTTCCGCTTCGTCTCATTCGCTTTTCCTTTCCCGATCGCGCGCGCGCGCACGCGAGATTCGCGCGTCTACTCTTCATTAAAAAGGCCCACTTGAGAAAAGCTTAAAGACGGCTAATGACACGGTGCCTTTAATGTCTTCACTCGACTCCGCTCTTTCTCGTCTTTCACCGACAGTGCAACCGCGCGCAAGAACCGAACGGCGCCGCGGCTTTTTCTTCGTCGCAGCAAAACGCCCTTAACAGGCCGTTAAAGTAAACGGACTCCCTTTTCACTTGATCTTCTCTATGGTCAAACAGCGCGAAAGTCCAAGAAACGTTTGAGAGATTCCTAAGGGACGAGATTAGGATGTCTTTCAAGACGTTTTCCAGACGTCTGGTTTAAGAAATTCTCATTCAAGATCGTAAAATTTTCAGATTTTTCTTTGCGTCTACTCAGATTTCATTTTCGTTACAAGACAAATACATTAGCTTTCCGCATAACAGCAGAATATTGTTAACATTTATAATTTGTAACATTATTTCGTTTGATTAAGCAGAATCTTTCCACTTTGATGCCAAATATTTTTACAAAGAGCACACTTCAAAATAGTGGCGGCGACAATGTAATTTCCTGTTTGCACACATGTGTTACACATTGCAAACAATAAAGGTCGATTGTAGCAAAAGATAGGAAGACCATGCGTAGGACTGGTTGCCTTTGAATTTCTCGATCGTAAACTTGGACAGAGAATCGTAAAAGCTCGCCTCGTTGCCAGATTCAGTCTTGCGATTTATTTTCAGACGCGAATAATGTAAACAATAGCTTTTCCCAGCTTGAAAAAGACTTATCGAGTGACCTAATTAATCGGATTTCGGAATCGGAGAATCTTGAATCTTTAGACATCAATAA